GGACTGTTGCCTTCTTCAACCAAATGACACATTCTGGTTGTGAGAATTTCAAAGACTAATGTATGCAATTCAGAATTGATATACTTCTTTAATAAGTCCATATAATTAATTAATTAAAATACCTAAGAGTCTTAAGTGGCTTCAAAGGTCATATGTACCAAGTGAACAATTGCTCAAATTAAGTGTGTGCTATTACAAGCTCTGAACCAGACAGAGGGCATCAAAGGTTAAGGGGGTAAAAATCCAACAGCAGCAACAAAAATTACATACAAAGAAACATGATTTGAATGGAAATACTGATTAAATTACTAAATTATGTCACTCAAAATTCAAAATAGCTAGGGAAATTCTGGTAGGCTTACATGGGAAGCAATGCAAAATGGCAGACTGTAAAAACACTATTTTCTAAAATGACATAGGAGAAGCATATTACTTATTGTCTTTAAAAAAATTCTGTATTGTTTAAAGTATTACATAGGTCTCCTTTTTCACCTATTGACCTCTCCCTGGCCGCCCCCATCCCCTAGCCCCCTACTGTCTGTGTCCATTGGTCATGCTCATATGCATGCATACAAGTCCTTTGGTTGAACTCTTACCCCCTCTTACTTACTGTCTTTAAGATAATTATCTCAGTCAATTTGTGACAAAATTATTTTGCTTAAATTTAATTTTTAAAAGAAGCTAGAAAAGTTGAAAAGAATTAAAATTAAAAGGTGAACTCTGTCTTTGGCTAACAAATTATGTCCCTTTAGTAGGAAAATATTTCAGAATTTGTAAGCTCATTGGGAAAATACAATACCAGCTGTCATTTTTATATAAAAATTGCATATTTGCTATCTACATTTCAATTTGGAAAATGTATAATGCTTTAAATCAAGCTCTAAGTTATAAGCAATGCCTATGAAAGTATTTACCAGATCTTTAGCAAATGCAATTGTGTAAATAAAAATATAACCTATAAATATTATTTATATTAATACTCAAAGAAACTTACTGTTCTATTGGTAACTTCTACATCTGTGAAACAAACATGCTACTGTTCAGTTCATCTATTGATAATGCTGGTATCTATAGTAAAAGAGATTTTAGATTAAAATAGTTTCTTGAGAGGATTCCATTTATTTTGTTCACTGCTTGGACATGGTAATCAATACCATAATCATGTCACAGAAAAATTTAGACAATATTAATGATATCTACTAATAATTAATTTTGCAAAGCACAGATTAGAATGTGATTTATTTCCCTAATTAATTAATGCTTTGTGTGCTATGTGGTTATCATACTTATAATTAAAACAGCAGTGAAACTTGCAGTCATGAAGCATGATTACCACTTTAATAAGGCAAAACGGCCATAACATTGCACAATAACTATTGCTTGTATCTCCTTACAGTTTCAAGACTCCCCCCAAATTTATAATTTTCCTTGTGACTCTGCTTGTAAATACCTAAAGCAAATGAAAATCAAAACAACACAAGCACATTTAACGTCAGTATGAGAAGAAATTTCTGACATAATTATTATATAATTATAGGGATATCTGTGCCTTAGAAATAAATGTGTTAACTTTCTTTCCAGCAGATATGAAGGTCGAAATGATGATTGTATTAGTGAACATTTAACCACAATAACCAAAAATGGTAGTAAAATAAAACAAATTCACCTCTTGAGCAATGAAAAAGTGTTTAAGAAATATTTAGTATATACATTTAAGGATTGGTGTAGTAGCAACAATTGTATATATAACATATCAAGAGAGACATATGGTAACTTATTGAAAATGAGATAACTGCTCATCTCAGGATCAGTAGCAAAGCAGATACACACCTTTAGGACAGAGATTTTCAACCTTATTCATCTCATGGCACACATAAACTAATTCTGCAGCACAACAAAAATATATTTTTTGCTAATCTGACAAAAAATATATAATTTTAACTCATTTACACATTGTTGTGTTGGCTGTTGTCATTTTTTTTATTTGATGATCTGAGTGATAAGAGGTCAGTGCCCCTGACTAAATAGTCAGGTATTGCACGTTTTAAAAATTCTTATAGCACACCACTGTTCTGCAGCACACAGATCGAAAAACACTGCTCTATAATAAACACAAAAATAAAAACTCTAAATGTAACGACTACTTGGCAAACACAAAAATATGGACCAATGTCTCTCACCAATTCAAAAAGCATATACCGTTTCTTACCAACACACCATAGTTATCTAGGTGAAGTAAATTGCCAAACCTGATTGCCTGTAGCTGTTGCAGCGAAGGGAACACTGGTGGCAGGTGTTGTTGCTGCAGACACAGTGGTAGGTGTAGCACCGTGCATCATGGGCACTTTCCGTAGGAAACCATGGAAGCAACACACAGGAGGGTGAACCATTTATGCAACCATGACATAAACGATGAAATGGAGCATGGTAGGTATCACAGCAACAAGCCATGTGACATCATCATCATGGATACACCAGGGTGCAACATGCAATCACAGTCAGTGCAAAGCAACACAGCACAGAATGGGGAAACATTTAAAAAGAGAAAAGGGATAAACAATTATAGTTTACATTGAGAAAAACAAAATTATTTCAACATTTAGTCAGTTTTTTAGTAGAATCACATTTTATTTTAATTAAAAGGCCAGATTTCCAGATGGTTAAATTGGCTGCATAAAGTAAAATCTTATTTTACCAAGACTATCTGTATTAATAACTAATTAAGTAGACAAGTGACTAGGTTGCACATTAAAAATGGGAGTAGGGAACTGTGAGTTGGTGCCTGGGTTCATTAATTTATAGATATGAGTGCTGTCTCTAGATTTGCAGGTTCAAAGGGACAGTTATATGTATACTTACCTGATCTACATGCAAAAATATGGTAGTTCAGTTGGCGGGTATATGGTAGGGGAGCAGAGATGAATAATACAATGGCCTACACATTCAGGTTTTTAAATACAACTCTGGAAAACCCCTTGAAACTTAGGCTATTTATCAAACACATTGGATACTTTAAAGAAAATATATAACAAAATCTTGTCTTCATGGCAAATGTTACAGCTACATGGCTAGCAGCCTTAACATCTCTTTCAGGGTGTTTTCTCTTTGCCTTTTCTAGTTTCTAACTTATTTAAAAAGTTTTTGGGTGCTTTTTTCAGTTCTAGCTCATTTTGGAAAGCAAACTAAGGAATTAATGGGTGAATGGCAAGCATTCATATATAATAATTTACATCTACATTGATTGAATTCAGATTTTCTGAAAGTAGAGACAAAATGAATGGCCCAGAGAGAGAAAAATCAACACATCTATCTAATGTCGTAGAAACCGTAGTTGTACCCCAACTGGTGTTTAACAGAAACTCTGTAGTTTATCCTTATGCCTATCTGTAGTTATCCATTACTTAGAGACATTCTTTACTGTACAACATGTTAATTCTAAAAACACTCCTCCCGCCCTTGGGAGCACAGCAACTCTACAGGAAGCAGCACTATTGATGCATGCAGTTTGCATTCCTACACAGAGTTCTTAGGTGAAAGGACAGGGAAGCAGAGTCACAAAATGTGAAGACACATTTCACGAACTTGCAGAAGTCAGATCATCTAGTCATATGCATATAGGGCTCCTGCTCTTAACAATGGAAATATTTTTTTATTTTTACAGGGGACAGCCAATCCCTCAATAACAGAGGCCGCACCTCCGTAGCCAGTGAATTTTATTGTACTACTCTGTTGTTGCTGTTTTGACTTTTTTTTTTTTTATCTCAGTAAGCCCCTTAGTTCTTTTTGGCCTTTGCATCTACTCTGTTTGACCAATGGGATAGAGGTCAAGCCATTGCAAACTCTCAAAAAGGATTAAAGGAACTGAATTGATTTGAGATGGTAGGATGGGGTGGAATAATTTCTCCTTATATCAAACAGAGCTATTTTCTCCTTGTCTGTTACTGATGCATATGGGGACTATAGGAGCTGTGAACTCCCCAGGAATTCTAGACAAGTCACTTTCTTGTCTTTTGTATTAGTGATGTACAAAATGGTTTTGAGATGTTACCATATTTTATTGGTGATTAATTAAAGTATCTTGTGTAACTAGTTAAAAAATCGCATACCCCCAAAGAGTTACTTTGAAATTATTCTGTTGTGTCTAGCTTCCATGAACATGTGCTTCATTCTAGAACATTACAGACTTCATCACATGACATTAAGAAATGTTCTAGCTTTGCTAAACTCATCCTTTCTAAACATTTGAGTATTGACTAATTTAGATCTTATGGATAACTTTTTTGGAGGAAAATTTTGTACTTTAGAAATTGTACATTTGCCCTGACCGGTTTGGCTCAGTGGATAGAGCGTCGGCCTGCAGACTCAAGGGTCACAGGTTTGATTACAGTCAAAAGCATGTACCTTGGTTGCGGGCACATACCATTTTAAATATTTTATAGTGTCCTAGTAACAGATGTAAAGCTAAGAACAAAACTGCCCATTCTGGCTAGATAAGGAAATGTTTCAAAATAGTTCGGCTATACATTTTAGGGTGAAAATAGAGCAATGGCAGGGTCAGTATTTGGCCAACCAACTAAGACTTGAGAGTGCAGGACTAATGTGATTCCACAAAGATGTGAAACAGCACCACATTAAACCTTAAATACTCAGATAATGTCTAACCATATCATTCAGTTGTATGCTCTTTCATAGTCACAACAGAAAAATCACTTTTTTTCAGATTAGAATAATTGAGAATTTTTGTACAAAACCTACCAATACTTGAAGCAGGTGCCATGCACAGTATTTGCCCTGTACACCATGCAGAAAAGCGTGAAAAGTAAAGAAAAGAGATATTTCATTATTTAAGCTTTACTGATAGAAATAATTGTAACTAAAAAGATAATCTTTGCAATATTAATTAATTAGCACATGCAAATCCAAGTAATCTCCTATGCTTATAATTACAGCCTAGTTTTAAAATCACAAACCCAAGTAATCAAAGTAATTCTTGGATGCTTAGGTATAAACATGAATATTAAATTTTCTTTAAGAGGATTATCTCACTTAAATTACATCCTTTATTTATTTTGGACAAATACATTCTAAGTAACTTTAATCATGAAAGGGATAATTTTCTTTGTTACATAAATTGTTTTCAAAATATGCACCAAGATCTGGTACTTAGTACCAATAGTTCTTTTTAGAGCATTTATCTATTATCACTACCTATTCCACCTTGTAGCTGAGGACTTGACTATGAACATATGGCAAACAGGCTTTTTATCAAAAGGGGGCTCAGCCTAAAAGGTTTTTAATTTATTACTTAAGGGGGACAGGGTTCTTCAGATATTTTGGCTTATGAAGCTAGATTTTAAATTATTCAAATCTAACAAAAAGTCTGAAAATTGTGAAGATTGTGTTTTTTAAATGACACCATGAAAATTACTGTTAGTAACTAGATAAAGCTTTTTAATAGCTTCTTTCAAAATGTATTAACTAATTTATCAATTAAGCAAGAAGTTTCTTTTTCAAGTCCAGGTATACAATTCTATGCATTTAGTATGTTTATACAATTAACAAGGCTTTATAAATTAATTTTTAAATCATATCATTTTCATTTAATAATAGTGTCCAAAGTGGGAATTTATAATTCTGGCAAGAAAATCTACTGTACTCTGGGTAATTTGTATTTTCAATTTATTCCTAAGAGACTACATGCTAATTCTTAAAGTACTGAACCACAGAAGAAAAGTATTTTCCCATATATATATATATTTGGACAAAATTCTGGCTTAAAATTTTTATTCAATTTGGTACAAAATTGTTAAGCTGTTAAATGTAGTTGAATATAAAAGATAAAATATGCTGCGAAGTGTCAGGAAAGTATGTCAGGAAAACTGCTATTTTTTAAAATATTAACTGGTTTAAGAATTAGAGGCTAGAACTACCTGTTATATTATACTACGTATTACCTGTATATTACACTATAATATAAATTTAAGGGTAGTTTTATTGTAAGTATCTTCAGTATATCAAAGATATATGGACTTTATATTTTTGCAATGCTGAAAATGGGAAATATTTTTTTTGAGGACAGACTAATGTCTTTGAATGTTATACCTAAGAATCAAAAAATTAATTTGAGACTGAACCAAGTGAATCAATGATAAGAAGCAAAAATTAAGAAATGTTAAAAAGAAAAATATGGACAATGTTTCCTAGTTTGATTTCAAATCATTACTTTTCAGAAATCACAGAAACAAAACTTTTTATATATACTAGCAGATCAAACGTAACTGCCCTGTTTCATTTCCAGTCAACACACCTGTTGATAGTCCTGGCATAGCAGTCATTTGGTAGCTGGTGTGCATTGTATACACTCACAACATCATTATACTCACAGTGTCCACAACCCAGTTCTCACCTGTAGGGATAAAGGCTGGCTGTGGGAGCTGCACGTTAGTCAGAGCCTGTTGGCAGTGGAAAACACTGGGATTAAAGAGCGGGATGGCACCATTAGTCTTTTCAAGTGCCGATCTCTTTGGTATCAGTTGAAATGCACCAGGCTGCAGGGCCTGTGAGGGAGGGATAGATTAATAAATAGTACCAAAGAAAGTAAAGAATGTACTCAAACCAAGCAAGCAGCAGTTAGATAAGGTATGGTCTGGGAACTCTCTGCAAGTCTATCCATCGAGCAAGGTAACCAGCTGCAGAGATGAAGCAGTTCACTAAATGACAACTTAGTTCAAAACAGAAAAATCCATACAAGGAAAAAAAGAAGCTTTTCAACTTTGCTAATTTAGGCAAATAAAAAAGGACCTCGTCATTTGGACAGGGTGTGACAGGAAGCTGTTAACAACAAATAAGCATTTAAAATTAACACGCTCATCTACTATAAAAATGAGATTAGCAGAGGCAATGGGTATAGCAGGAAAGACATTTTTTTCCAGTTAAAATTCTGATAAGGATTTAGGAGATAAATGGTATATAGGTGATAAAAAACATTATCAGTAGTTGTAGTCTGCTACTATAGCCCAATAAAACAAATCCAATTTATACCAGGTCTTCAGATCCAAATTCTATAACTGTATATCTCCCAACTAAAATGTAAGAAAACAGGCAAATTAATTACTTCCCCATCACCCACCTCACCCAGGTACCACAGATAGTTAGCAAAATCAATTATCATTTGCAGAGGCTTGCTGCACATTTCAGTATGTGCCATTTGCTTTGTACAGTTCTTGTAAAGTTTAATTCTAAACTGTATTAGCATTTTAAAATCCTCCTTTCATGTCTACAATTCTTTCAAAATTCCACTATGCTTATAATACTCAAACTTGTCCCTGGATCAGATTCATTGGAGAAGTTTGCCATTACATTTTTTTTTCTCAGCAAATTGTACATTACTTAAAAAACATGCCCCAGAAACAACAATTACGTGTGCTTCAAATTCTCCAGTAGACAAGGACATTGTGCTAAGTAGCTAGCATTCCACACACTAAAAAGGGATATGCCATGACCTCCTTACTTCTGTGAATAAAGAAAGCCTAAAGCAGGGGTGGGGAACATCTAGCCTGTGGACCATAAAAAGCCCATAAAATCATTTGGTCTGGCCCTGCCAACGCATTATGGGTGAGTTAATTAAATGTTTGAAGAAATATAGCAGGCTAATTTTTAAGTTGATAACTTTGTATGGCCCATGAATGATGTTATAAATATCCAAATGGCCCTTGGCAGAAAAAAGCTTCCCTCCTCTGGCCTGAAGGAATCAGTATCTTCTTTGGGAAAAACTAAACATCAACCCATGAAGTCTTTTTCTTTTAAACGCATACAAACTTCTTTCAATGAAGTCAACCTGAGCTAGGCACATGAACGTGAACAGTGTAAAAATATCTCTTTTCACTAAGCATTTCTACTCTGAATCCTTAAACATATAGAAAGCTTAAACTTCTTCGTGGAACGCCTCCTTTGTATAATCTTATTTCAGACAAATTCGTAAGGGCCAATTTGACTTTACCAATAAGACTCTGCTCTCATCAGTTACTCAGAAAGGAATATTATATTAACATTCACAAGTACCAGTCAATTGAAGGCCAACTATATAATATTTAAATTTCTACATGGAAATTTAGGGTTGATTTATGTGTATTTTACCAAATACCCTCAAATTATCAGGAATGAACACGTACATATGAAGGCCTCATGCCTGAATGTGGGACAAGTACATAAAGGCACAAGCAAGCCATTCTTTATACACTCCACACATATGAGAACCTTTACTTTTACGGAGCCAGCTGTATTCTTCTCTTTTATAATAGGTCCATGCTGTTTCTGAACTGTATGCCACCAACAGAAATAATCCAAAAATTGAAGGCTTAATTTTGCATTGAACATTCTGGATGCCTTCTATTTTCATAGTTTAAAATTCCCTCATTCAAAAGAATTTAAGATAAACAACATGTGGTGAGGTCTTTTTTAAAAAACATTCATTAACAGCCCTAACCGGTTTGGCTCAGTAGATAGAGCATCAGCCTGCAGACTAAAGGGTCCCAGGTTTGATTCCGGTCAAGGGCATGTACCTTGTTTGCAGGCACATCCTCAGTAGGGAGTATGCAGGAGGCAGCTGATCAATGTTTCTCTCTTATCGATGTTTCTAACTCTCTATCCCTCTCCCTTGCTCTCTGTAAAAAATCAATAAAATATATATTAAAAAAGCATTCATTAACAGATTATGTTTTCCAGATCAATTTTTCATGAAGTAATGGGTTCAGTCCTGAGAGAACAGGGATATTGAGAAAGTGGAGCAAGACCGAAATTAGTGCTGTGTCCTTAAAGCCATCATCTACCAAGAAAAGTTGGAAGTATCTGGTTTAGAGAATACGAGATCAAAGTCACCACTCATGGAATAGGGGTTGACATATTTTGTGTAATAAAAAAAGCATGAGTTGCAGTTATAGCAAGATAGATTTCAACTCATTATGAGGAAAACATTGTTAACAAATATGGGGTTTGAAAATAAATGTATTTCTCTTTTTAAAGGTAAGGTCTCTGTCAGGGGCTTCAGGTTCCTATAGATGATTTTTTCCACAGCCAGGAAATACGAGGTTCCTCAAGGTTTTATCCCTTATTGGATTATTACACCCTGTTACACAAGGAAAGGCCCAAGCCAAAAAAGAAATAGCGAGGAGCTTATCAAAATAATTGACAGCTGTGACAAAGAAGTGATCATAATTCCTATTTCTCAACGTATCACACTGTAGTATGGTATGTAAATATTTTCCCTAGCTCCTAAAATCAATTTTTCCCCAAAACTGACTTGCTAGGACAACTTCTCTTGCCTCTTCTCCCAACCACGTAGAAATGCCCTTCCCAGCCTCGGCTGGCTGCTACCTTAAAACCATTCCTCCAAAAAGGAAAGAGAATCTTAACCTTTGGGAAACAAGAGCCTACTTATTATCCCATCTTTCAAGTCCTCTGTTTTTGAAAGGCATTACGGATATTACTAACAAAGTCCCCATGTAGGTGGCTCATAGGCAGAGGAGCAACTTGCTGCTTTTTTTCATATGCTCAGGTTAGTTATGCTATAAAAAATCATTCAAAAATAATTTACTATTTAAATTATGTAATTTTATCTTTCC